TGTTGTATTGATTGTTATATGAGCATATACAACTTGTGAGCATGCCTTGTTCAAGTTATAGAATTTAATTTAATTATTTTCTTCGTTTAAGATTTAATTTTCATGATGCTAAGCAACTTAGAATTAAATTGTGGTATGCTAGAAATTTAAGCCTTGGTATGGTGGTTGATATATATTAAATTGGGGTTATTTGAATAAGAATTGTAAATTTTATTTAATATTTATCTTTTGTGAAAGTTTAATTCACCCAGTTGTATCAAGCATGGAATCAACTTGTAATATGATATTAAAGTAGGCCTTGGTGAGTTCTTTAACATATATTAAATTGAGGATATTTGGATATGTTTGAAAATTTAGAGAAAAATTAATTAATGAGCTTAATTAATTTTATTTTAAGTGTGTTGGTCACTTAAATTGATATCGGAGGTAATAGGTTATTAATCCCTTGAAACGTAGTCCGTTTAATCACCTTGTGAGCATATTACAAATTTGATGTGGAATTAGTAGTTGAGGCATCTTGAAATGGTAATTGGACTAAGCATGATATAGAATATCATTGACTTGCATAGCTTGTTTAGATATCTCTTGTGTGGGTGTATAGCTTGTTAGAATATTACAATTGTTTACCTTGGAAGCTAGTTACTAAATTGGGACTTATTTAGTACTTGTGGCTTAGTGTGGTAATGTGGTTCAATTGTTGTAAAATATTCTTGTTTTGGTGTATAAATTGCATATTGGAGGCTTGACATGTCATATGCTATCTAGACTTGAATTCTAGGACATGGTTTATGTGGATTCAACCTTATTTGTGCATGGAAGATGGCTTTATGCATTAATGGATTTGGTATAAGTTTGGTCAACTTATTGATTTTTGTAGAAGTTTTGGACTTATTGATTTCGGAAAGCTTGTAAGAACATATTTCACGTGATGGTTAGCGTTTGGCTCTAGTACGGAGATAAGAGTCTTCTAAGTCATAAGTGCGCACTAGGTAGTACCTTGTGAGTTGTAATTGCCCGAAATAACTTATGCATGTGCACACTAGGTAGTGCTTTGTAGGTCGTAATTACCCGGAAACACTTGCTTGGTCTAATGACCACATGTCCTAGTTTTTCTACTTTTATTTCGCATTCAATTTCAAGTTGTTAATCATGGATTAGTTGTAGCTTGAGAATTAATGCTTGCTTTGGATATTTGAATCTTACTTAGCATACTTGAAACTGTATACTTGTTTTGTGCATTTAGATCTCATATAGTGTACTTAAACTTGTATGCTTGCTCTGTGAGTTTAGATTTCATTTAGTATGCTTGTGCCGTGTATACTTGTTTTAGGTGTATCTCTTTTAGCTTAGTATACTTGTGTTCATATACTTGATTTATGAGATTTTCATATAAAATGCATACTTGTGTAAATATGCTTAGACATTGCATGACTTGTCTTAATGTGGTTTAGTATACTTGGAAATGTATGCTTGTATGTTGTATAACGTGTTTAACATTGTTTAGTATACTTGAGCATGTATACTTGTATGCCGCTGTTCACTTTAAATTACATGAGTAGCTTAGGATGCTCCCTGAGTCTCATTTTGATATAGACGTTAGGTGGCATGAGCCCCTTTGACATGTTTCACCTTAAGGTGATATAATTGTAAAATGCTAGGTCGATGTATGCTCATCTCCTACGAGTAGCTTTATGTTACTCACCCATGTAGTGAGGACATTTTTCAGGTACCGGGATCAAGATTTGGGATTCACATCATGCTTTGATGATTTGTAAACTTGAAGTTCTCATTTCATGTAAATGTTGGTTTGAAATGCCATTTATAGCTTTATATGTCAAAATGTGTAAATTTGATTCTATTTTTGTAATGTGTACATAAGTACACTCTTTACAATGTATTTGACATGTATGAGATGAGGCCATAGGCCAATGACATCTAATTTGTATCCTATGTAACTTTTAACTTCATGAAATATTATAAAAATATTGAAAAACGCCAAGTCATTGTCTCACCATGGTTGCATCGGGTGTGGGAATTCCGTTTTCATTCTTTCATAGGGTCTTATAAATCATGTTTGAAGTATGGCCAAGGGCCAAACGGTTATTTGACCCCGTTTCGTATTTTTGGATTCCGAGTTTTCATTCTAAGTTCTATTTTTGCCTTTTTGCCCGTTGGGGGGTCGGATTTTGTATCGGTGGTATTTTTAAGTCATGGACCATTGCAACACGTCCAAATACGTAAGTTACGTTTGCGTGCATGGTCGTTTCTGGGCAAAACCTTATCGTTTGTGTTTTGAGTTTCTTATGGACTCATTTTGAAGTTTTGTTGCATAATCTGATTTTAGGGCACTTTGGGGTTTTCCTTTCGGGAAATAAATTCCGTTCTTAACATGGTCACTTAGAAAACGTGATTTTAGGGAGGGTATCTTCTTCGTGTTTTTCCAGAAAATGTCGTCTTGGTACCGGAAATCCTGTGCAAAGTTCGGTTTTTCTCCTATGCTATAGCAGCTTTTTTTCAACTTCTTGCCCTTTCCTGATCTAGGGGCATTCTGGGTACTTCATAGTGTTTCTTTTTCGTTTTCGTCCATAATCCAGGTAGAAAAAGTGATTTTAGGGGGGGTTTCTTCTTCGTGTTTTTACAAAAAAAAATCATCTTGATGCCGAAAACAACTCGCAGATCTGGAAAATCTGGTCGTTCCAGGTTTTTCAGGAAAAAGTTTTGATCTAAGGGGGCATTTTCGGTATTTCACTTGAAAAATAAAAACTTCTCTTGACATGGTCATGTAGAAAACATGATTTTGGGAGGAGTTTTTTTACAACTTTTTGCCAAAAAATGTCATTTAAGCCCTCAAAATTCCATTTGAATTCGGAAAATGTGTGCAGGCCCTACTCATACTTGAAACCCAGAAAGTCTAATTTTTTGAAACTTTGAGGCTTCATATCTTCATCATCCGGACTCCAAATCAAGTGATTTTTGAGTCTAAATTTATTAGTTTTTGCTGGTCTATATAACGGTATGGACGGTTGCATCAAATTGTATCTGAAAAGACCATTTTACCCCTTGTAAATTACCCTTGCCGCACTGATTTCAAACCTAAAAGTTGGTTTTTATGAAACTTTGACGTTTCATATCTTCTTCGTCCGGACTCTGAATCAAGTGATTCTTGAGTCTAGATTCATTAATTTTTCCTGGTCTATCTAACGGTATGCTCAGTTACATCTAGTTTGGTCTGAAAGGACCATTTCAACCCATGTAAAGTACCTTTGCCGCATTGATTTCAAACCCAAAAGTTTGATTTTATGAAACTTTAGAATTTCATATTTTCTTCATCCGGACTCCGAATCAAGTGATTCTTGAGTCCATCTTGATTAGTTTTTCGTTGTCCTTCCAGCGGTGTGCTTGGTGGCACCCAAGTCCACAGTTTTTAGAAATAACTATTTTGCCCTAGGGGCTTATTTGTCATATTTGTGGTCTTTTGCTTCCGTGTCAGTTCTTATTGAGTTCCACGACCTCATGGAAGGTTATTTTGACTTCTTAGAGTCTTGTTTTCTATTTTCGTTTTCGCATATCGGATCCGTTATCGGGTCAATCTTCGGTTCATCACAGGACACGCTGGCCTAAACACTAGGGTCGTCACAAGATTTCAAATGCACTGTCGAGTCTTGCTAAAATTTTAGGTTGACCTTGGGTCACTTGGGTTAGGCTTACCCAGATTTCACCCCCATTTCCCACTACTTCCTCTTTTGTTTGTTTTTCCAAACTATCGATATTTTAAGTTTGGCTTCTTTCATTTTTGATTCCAAGATTTCTCCATTAATCTTGTTTATCACTCTATTTAACTTTGCTCCAACGTCAATTTATTTATCAAGCTCTGTTGAACTTTGAAAATTAAAGTTTTGTTCTTAAATTTATAATTTAGTGTTCCACTTCTTATTTTCTTTTCACCTTGTCACTTGAGCCCATAAAAAGTTAGATTAACATTTTTCTCGTCTTTTAAATTTTTTAGGTAAATTTTCAAATCTTTACAAATTATCCTGAAATTTTGAAGTGATCATTCATTAGTCCCGCTTTTCTATTCCTTCAAAAACAAAAACAAAATCAAGGAAAAATAAGATTTATCTGAAGTGATGAAAAAATTCACCAAAGGAAAAAGGAGAGGGAGAGGGAGAGCGATGGATGAAACATCCCTTGGGAAAGAGAAATGATTTTTTAGTTAATGATAGTTCATTTCTTTTATTTGTCCATATCATTATTACAACACTAGTGAAAAAAGAGAGAAAAATGAACTGATTTTTAGCAAAGAGAAATGACAAATGTACTTTCTTTTAACCAAATACACCTTTCTTTTTTTTTTTATTTTATTTATTTTAATTAGGGATACTTGTGTCATTTTATTTTAAGAGTGGGCTGCATTTGGTTAAAATACAACTCCCTTTAACAAATAGTGCGTTTTATTATTTTAAGAGTGAAGTGCGTTTTGATTAAAATGTAATTCCCTTTAACAAATAGTTATTTATTTTTAAAATGACCAAATTACTATTTAAATGAATGATTATGAATTAAGGATACTTGTGTCATTTTATTTTAAGAGTGGGCTGCATTTGGTTAAAATACAACTCCCTTTAACAAGTAGTGCCGTTTTATTATTTTAAGAGTGAAGTGCTTTTTGATTAAAATGTAATTCCCTTTAAGAAGTAGTTATTTATTTTTAAAATGACCAAATTACTATTTAAATGGATGATTATTTTGTTTTAAAATAAGTGTGATCTATTGGAGTACTTTAGAAAGATAATCATGCCATTTTTCTTGCGATAAAAGTTGAGCGTAATATTTTTTACTTTTCAATTTTTTCATTTCACCGCTTAAAGTAAATTTTTTTTCCCTCCAATACTGAACGCCACCGTGGCGAGAGGTTGACATACTCTCTCTCTCTCCCCATCTTTATGATAATACATATACATATACATATACATATATATATATATATATAATATTGGAGTTTTAATAAAATCTGTCTCAACTTGCTTACGCTCTTCTACTCGAAGTCCTTCTGCAGCAATTGGTGAGAATTCAAATTAATCTCCACTTAACGAAACCCTAGAATCTGGTTTCAGCTAAATTCTGCTTCTTCTGAGCAATTCACTTCGGTGCCCTAAGTTTTCCTTCCTTTTCATTTTCTTTCCACTCATTTTCTCGGCAATCAATCAAAGCCACTGATCATGCTGTTTTCTTTGTGATTCCTGTACAGAAGAAGGATAATCTGGCGCTTTCAACATGCACATAAAGCAGGTATGCTTTACATTTTTGTTTTCCCGAGAATAATTAATTCAATTTTTTTTTTTTTAATTTTCTAATTTTTATGCGTTTTGGGATTTTGTGTCTAGGTTATTATCGAAGGGTTTAAGAGCTACAGAGAACAAGTTGCTACTGATCCTTTCAGTTCAAAAATTAATTGCGTTGGTAATGATCTTCTTCCTTACAATCGTCTTGAGATTTTGTCTTAGACTTGTTCTACAGTATATATAGTTAAAGCAGTGATAAGATTTGAAATGTCTCCATGCTTTATGTATCGTTTCAGCTTTCTATGATTTGAGTACATTGGTTTGGTCTTGTTCAATACACGGGATCATATCTGCTTCATATACAGTACTTTATAGGATCTGATTTAAAAACAAGAAGGAAAGCTTCTACGTTCTAACACAATATTTATGAAGTAATTTTATTGAAAAGAAGAATTGATTTAAATACAGACATGCTTCTTATTTGTAAATGTAAAATGAGATTTGAGTACGTGGAATAGTCAACCATGGAAGTGGATGTAGTGACCAATGTTTGGAAACGTCAACATGACTGATTTTTAAATTTTAAAAAAATTAACAAAATTTCAAACTCACGAGTCTAGCAGATAGTAAAATATAAGCAATCTACAACATTTTAAAGCAATAAATGACAAACCAGAATCCACTATATGAGTTAACAGACTCTATCCCAGGAATCTCCTATTTACCTCATTGTACAGAAGTCTCCAATCTTTTCCCCCTAAAAGTCTTCACAGAGCTCTTCTGTTTGGCAACAACGTCTTCTCCTCACGAACCCGCTTCTCTCATGTCAGTCCCAAGCCACTAATCGTCCAAGCGTCAATCTAGTAGTGGATTGAACTTGTAGTGTTGAACTGATCTTTGGAGTATGCAGCAACAAATGTCAACACATATGCACACACTCACCAACTAATGTAGTTGACAAATGTGAAAGAAAAAAAGTGATTCACTGAAAAATTCACAAAGAAATTTGCTCTCAATACGATTTATATGATGTTCTACTTGTGTGTACAGGTTTGTCCTAGTGTCATGCATTTATAGGCAGCCAAGTAGTACTGTATAGGTTTTTCCTAGTGATATTTTCCATTTCTTTTCCTTGCTATTTCCATCTAACCAAATGGAGCCTTAGAAAATTTAAAATATAAAAAGTTCCTAAAACATATTTCATGCAATGTAAAAACATTTTATGGAATCAAAATAATATTGGAACATGGAAATTTAGAGACCCTAGATCTGCAATGCATGAACGTTAATTGGTGAGTACATCAGCGTGTCAAATTACCTTTTTACCCTTGAATGTAACATGAATTCCATCTTCAATCGTGGGAGGTAACCAACACTAACTAACTTTTAAACAATTTCTAAACTAAGCTAGAAATTAAAACAAAAGTACATTCTCAGTTTTGTTTTACAAAATTTGGTCCTATTGACCTAATATCTCTCCTGTCGTTTGTCTGTCTGAATGATTAGATTGGTCCAAATTGGTCCAACCGGTGGGTCAATTAGGCTAACCAATATGATGTCAAATTGGTATATTTTTACTCAAAATTCGTGTTGTAATATGTCAAAATGTTTTGAGTTATGCGGGACATCTGATGAAGACATGTCAGACACAGAATCGTGAAAATTATGACGGAAAGTTTACATTCTCAATCACACATTTAGGTCACAGGTAAATTTACCTTGTTAGACCTTAGGTTGACCCCTTTTGATTCTGGAAGTGTTTCTAAAACATTGCTTATCAAAATTGAAGCTTTAAATGATTTTCGAAATTGGATTTCAAATTGGAAAACAGGGGCTATTGATCGAATACTTTCCAAGTAGCATTGGTCAAAAGGGTTGATCCATTGAAATTGTTCCAGGTAAAATCTTTTTAAAACCAGAATGCATTGATCGAAGTGTTTGATCAATCATTACGTTTTGATGAAGGTTCGATTGATCAAACTTGTTGACCTTAATTTTTAGAAACTCTCTCAATATACAATTTTATAAGGTTTCAATTACCTAAAACGCATGGGACTTCAATATTGGCAAAAAATATGGGGTTATGGTCAGTCAAGAAGATAGAGGAGAGTGTTTATGTAATCTAGGGTTTCCCAAAGACCATTCCATGTGTGATTGAATATTCAATAAGGATAAAATATTTCATTTGATCCTGTTCAACCGAACAATCATAGCAGACATGGGCATGTGTGTGAGAGTACCAACTATGAAAAAAAAACACAATCAAATTAGACATGGGCAAGCAATCACTAGAGAAGCAGGTTCGCGAATAGTGGATGCTGTAGATGAGTAGAGGAACGACTTGGAGACTTTCGGTGTAAAGTTCAGCATCATTTGTGTCTAGAGATAACTAGGGTTTCGAGGGTGAGTAAATTGTGAACCTACTTATATTTTCTTTCTCAATAGTGGATTTGTGCCCGACTGGATTAGGTCCCATGGTTTTTCCCTCTAGATTTTTTCGAGTAAAAGATCTTGTGTCTCAACAAGTTTCTAATATGCAAAAAGGACGAGGGATTGGTCGTTGAGGGTTTAGAGGCCCTATTTGGCCTTGTGCAGCTTTTGCAGACTCGTTTTTCTTTTAAACTCCTTTTATACAATTTTTACTTGTCAAAAAAAAAAAGAAAGGGTGCAAGAAGGATGAGAGATTGGTCGATGCCCAAATTTGCAAATGGATTATTTTTAGTATATTTTTTCTAAAATTGATAATATGAGTCATTTTTTTGTTCAAAGTACTTGGCTCAAAGTTAGTTCATCTATCGAATGACTCAACCAACCTAGATTGTTATAAAAAAAAAAAAAAAAAAAAAAAAAAAAAATCCGACCTAGATTCCTAAGTCCTACCTTAAAGTGATTGTGATTAGCTAAAGTTGTCAAGTTGTCATTCTTGCAACTCCATCTTCATTCATCACTCCACTTCAGAGATCGTCTTCCTTGACAAGACGACTCATGGTGGACTCTTTTGTGCATGTTGTGTTCAGCATACACCCATATTTCATGAAAGGATAGGCCTAGGATAGGCCTATGCTAATTACAATTGTCTAACACCTTCCACCTCCATCCCTAAATGAAGACGAAAAATGAGCTTCACGCTTCAAACAAAAAGAAAAATTTGTGTCATTTTGCTTTGACATCATGGAACAAAATTAAGTCTTCATATCTTCTTGCTTGGTGGAAGAGGCTAATCTTGACTCTTTCTTCTTGCTAATGCCTCACTATTTTTTTTCCCCCTTCATTATTCCACCAAGGGATTCATAGAAAAAAGTCAAGAAAATTTAGATTTATTAAACCTTTGAAAATAGTGTGCGTGTATATATGCATTTATAAAATGTCAAAGGTCAAGAAAATGTGGTGAAAGTTTTATTTATTTATTTTTTTAAACATAAAATTTAGTGGTTTCTATATATGCATCTAATAAAATTCCTACAGAAGTAATTATAAAATTGTTGTTTAACATTGTTAAATAGAGAACACCATTTGATAAAAATTGGCAACATATAAGATCAAAGTGAGAAATATCTTCAAAAAGTTCATTCTTGTATGAAGAATGGGAATCTCTTATCCTTTGAAGTAGTTTCTCGTGCAGTACTTGTTGAAGTTACTCCACCCAGTATCACTGTAGTGAATTTAATCGGAGAACCACCTCATTTTGTTGCAGGCAAGATTTTTGATGAGGTATAGATTCTCTTAGTAAGCAAGGAGTTTGTGACTGTTATGTTGGTTTGAAACTTGTAGTATTTATTCTTCATTTTATTAGCATTCCCTTATATCGTAATATAATGAAATTATCTATTTAAAAGTTCTTGATTCAGACAATACATAAGTGTTGGTGTTACTATTGGTATCCACTGTTGTTTCTTTTGAAACAAGTTGTATAATGATATTCTCTGCAGTTGGTGCTAATGGATCTGGCAAGTCGAACTTCTTTCATGGTAAGCAAGTCTACTCTTCATCAAGTGTATTGTTTTTGCTTTTTTACTGATACTTTCCATGGAGATTGATTGATGTTGAACTGCTTCCTCTTATTATTGTCTTCCTGTACTTATTTTGGTTTATGTTTTGAAATTGATCATTTGTAGCAATACGTTTTGTAATAAGCGACCTCTTCCAAAACCTGCGCAGTGAAGATAGGCATGCATTTCTCCATGTATGTTCTGCAATATATTAGTTCTCTAGCAATTATATTCAGTAATTCTTCTAAATCACTGTCATTTTCTAAATGGTTTTTATTTCGAATTATCCAGGAAGGTGCCGGACACCAAGTGTTATCTGCATTTGTGGAGATTGTATTTGATAACTCTGACAATCGCATCCCGGTAATCTTAGTAACCAGATTAGTCCTCTCCGAATTTTTTAATTTCCTGGGAAATTAAGTTATAAAGGAAGTTCCGGGGAACATAATTTGTTGCATATCTTTAGGTAGTGAAATCGTTTATTTTATTGTTTTCATAGATAAGTGTTGGTCCAGCCTATGCGGGATGCATACATTTGCGTAATTTATCTATTTTTTTTTTTAATTTTTAATTTTATTGATAAGTAAAATGTATTAGAAAGATACATTGTTCTACGTGCTTGATATTTTGCTCTGAGGGTTCTTCCAGTTGCATCATTTGCACTGTCAAGAACCAACAACAGCACAGTTACAAGCATTTTTTTTTTTTTTTTTGGTTCTTCTTGCAAAAGCAATTTTATGAACTCCTTGTGTATCAATGGTATTGTCTATGGTTTCATGTTGCATTTTTGCATATGCTATCTTTGAAACGGTAAAATTTCTGTTAAAAACCAATGATGTGGAATTTTTAATACCAGGGTGTAGATTTAGTCCCTGATTGGTTTATTACAATGGAAAAATGTTGCCATGAAAGAGTATAGAGGGCTTCTGTTTTTGTGCAGTTGTAATTGGTCGTGCTCCCCCTTTGAGCGTTCTTTAATGAATTTTACTTGTAAAAAAAAAAGAAGCAAATGCTGCTGTGAAAGTTAGCCATCAATTCTAATAACTCCATTGCAAAAAAGAAAAATGATTGAAAAACGGATCCTTCATTTGGTTCTTCAAGAGAAGGAGAGAAAAGAGAGTGCTTTTAAAAGCTTTGAGTACCTGGAGAGGAGATTCCTGCATGCCAAACATCTTCTAGAAAAAAAAAGGAACGTTAATCACCTCATAATATCTCATTATCCAACTAGATTAAAACCTCATGCTTTAATTTCCCAATGCTTTAACCACCTCATTGTCGTGTGTGAGCATTGAAGGTTATAGTTTGTATGCCTTTGTGGAAGATAGAGTAAATCAGTCAATAACATTGGCTAATGGGTAGCCATTTCACCATTGAAATGGCCTACTAAGCTTCTCCTATATACACCATTTGTGTGGCGCTGATTCTTGTCACGAGGAGTTTTCTCAAATTTCATTACCTTGGATACATGCAAGGAGGCTTGGAGAATTCAGGAAAGTTTTAAAAGTTTTCCCTGGAGGAAAAATGTTTTGAGCATCTTCCCCTCCTTACCCCTCTCTCTCTTTGGGATCTAGATGGAGTGAAAGACTTCTATGACAAACAAAGGGCCAAAGGAAACGATTTTGAGCATTTTCCTCTCTCTGAGATAAAATGAAGAGTAAAGGACATATATGATGAACAAAGTGCCAAATCTGAAGGTCTACCTGCGCGATGATTATATCATTATACCACTTGGCATGCTTTTGAAGGAAGGGTAAAAATTATATTTCGTACTTCCCCAAAATGTATATGATGAAGAATCTCTCCAATTACTGGAGCTTGTACCCAATGGGACAGCCACAATAATCACCAATTAATTAGACTTAGAATGAGAATCTCTTTCCTGTCAATCTGAATTATTCTTAGATCAACCAATGCCAAATCTGAAGACATAGGTGGAGAACAAAGGACTTCTGTGATAAACAAAGCTCCAAATCTAAAGATCGACCTGGGCAATAATTATACCACTTGGCATGCTTTTGAAGGTAGGCTAAACATTATATTTCCTACTTCCCCAAAATATATTTGATGAAGAATCTCTCCAATTACCGGAGCTTGGACCCAGTGGGACAGCCACAGTAATCATCCACTTAATTAGACTTAGAATGAGAACCTCAAGGTCAAGCTTTCTCACTGCTCATACAAAAGCTGATGGAGGCAAGGAGTATGCACTTCATACACTGATGAAAAGTTGGTGCAGGACAAATATCAATTGATGCTGTTTACAATTTTCTTTACTTTGGGCTGGCAGCTTAAGACAATACAGAAAATTTTATATTAGCCACTTAAAGGATGGAAGAAATTTTGCAAGCTGTGTGGAAGGGAAGGCTTGGAATAGGCTTATATTTGGAGGAATATTTTGACAGCAACTAATCATGTATTTGAAGTGTTAATTAAAAACTTGAAGTGTTGGAAAAGGTGGAGATATTATTTGGAAAAGGTGGAGATATTATTTGAAGTGTTAATCAGGGTGGGTTTTTTGACGACCTGGGCCCTGGCTCCATTGATGGCTTGCTGGTTCGAAGGCTCTGTTGTCTCTGTTTATTCGGTTCTGCTGCAACCACAATAATTTAATTCAGAGTGTTGATTGCTTTTTGGGAAAATGGGACTAGTTATGATTAGAATTAGGGTCATTACCCAGTGTGGTTTCCTTTAATAGAGTGTGCTGGGAGGTCAGAAAGGATACAGACCTAACCTATGACATCTTTTGCACAAAGTGGCTGCCCTTAGGAATCAAATTCGATTTCTTATGCTTGATAGTGCGGTGCATTTTATCACTAAACTACTTATAATTAGGATTAAACCACAAAAACCTTCAAGTTAAAAAAAATCTATCGAGTTAAAAGACTTAATTTTAGAAGTTTCTTGATGTCTCAATTGTACTTGGAATAAGGCTTCAAAATTAGAAACTTCCTACTTTGATTAAAAAACCTTCCTAAATGTACTAAAGAGTTAAGGCCATATATACAGGCTCTTTAACAAAATCAAGCTCATTCACTAACAAAGACAAATCATGTAGCCATGAATAATACCTTTAAGAACTTAAAGCATGAAATTGTGATCTATCCTTGACTATAATATATATATATATATATATATATATATATAAAGCAAGTGGTATGCTAAATAAAAATAAAAATTAAAGACTTGATTCAAAGGAATTTTTGTTATTAAAGATCCCATCTGGGTTCCATGTAAAATTCCTGGTATGATCCCTTCTCGTGATCCACTTAAAGAACACAAAAGAGCACGGAACCTAAAAAGACTTTGCTTCTCCTGTGTTGGGAATGCCAGTTAGTACTTCTGAAAAGTTAGGTTTCTCTAGATCCTCAAGTGTGCCTCAACATTGAAATCCAAACACTTTTTAAATTTCTCAAGTTCTCTTTCTTTGAATTTGCTCTTTCTTGACCTTATGAATTACATCACATGTGCTCATCTTTAACTTCAATCAGCCCCTTCAAACCCTGGTCCAGCTTTGATAAAACCTATTCTCTTCCTCTATTGATGTTCATGTGACTGTCCAAGTTTATGTTTTATGCTTTAAAATAAATGAGTTATATCTTAATTAGTATGATGTAATTGTTCAAGTGTTTGGATATGCGCTTTTCTTCTTTTTCAATTTCCTTTGCCTTTATTTCTCTCATCGCCAGTCACATGCATCATGACCACATAATCTTGGCTCATTCTTTTTTGTAAAGTGTTTTTTGGTCTTCTTCTGTACTCTTGATAGGTTGATAAGGAGGAGGTGCGCTTGCGGAGAACAATTGGTCTTAAAAAGGATGAATATTTCTTGGATGGAAAGCATATCACGTGAGTATTGATATCATGTCTTATGTAAATAACTGTTCTGTTCTTCATGCTTTTCTTTCCTTATAATCTCCCCTTCGGTTATTTTTAGTTGAATGATAAAAAGTAATATAATTTTGCAGTAAAACAGAAGTTATGAATTTACTAGAAAGTGCTGGGTTCTCTCGGTCCAACCCTTACTATGTTGTGCAGCAGGGGAAGGTACAGTGCTTTAGCTCATATGATTTGTGCATTTTTTATTTATTTATTTTTATCACTCTTAATACATGTGTATTTGTTTCATAGATAGCGTCACTGACAACGATGAAAGACTCTGAGCGACTTGACCTGCTGAAGGAAATTGGTGGGACACGAGTTTACGAGGAGAGGCGTCGTGAAAGTTTGAAAATTATGCAAGAAACTGGCAAGTTATCATCGAGTTATTTGATTTTTGCATTTTGTGATTGCTTCAGTACAAAATATTTCTTTTTTCCTAAATGTACAAAATATCTCTTTTTTAATCAGGTAATAAGAGAAAGCAGATTATTCAAGTTGTTCAGTATTTGGATGAGAGATTAAAGGAGCTGGATGAAGAGAAAGAGGAGCTGAGAAAATATCAGCAGCTTGACAAGCAGCGGAAATCTCTAGAATACACCATTTATGACAAAGAACTTCATGATGCAAGGCAGAAATTGGGGGAGGTCAGTTACTTAGATGCTTACACTTGTGTAGAAAGCACAATTTCTGGTTGAAGTTCTAATATTTTACTGTATTGTTAATTGGAATATCAACTATAATATTTGTTTAAATGATTTAAACTGGAAATTTTGATGTTAATGAGTTGTTAATGGAGAAAAGAAACAAAACGTGCTGGGATAGATCTCAGGAGATATATATATATTTTCATTTCATTCTTTCTTTCCTTTCATTTGTTTAATTTTAAGTTCTTTTCATTGAGAACATGGGGATGAAGTGATACACAAAATCAGGTGGCTCTTAATTTTGTAAACCGAAAAGTTTTAGTATTCCGAGGGAGAAATCTAGTAACAGTCAATGAGGCCCCATGTAGTTTGTCTGACAATATGCTTAAGTTTGCACTTTTCTTTTTTCAAATTCTACCCAGCTCCTTCATAGCTAAAATGAAATACCAGGTTTTAAAATATCGGTTGAGACAGGACGATTCAGCCGAGTTGTAATGGTCTTGGCCAGAGTTGATACAGTTTGGCCCCGGTATATCATCGAGAATGAGAATCACAAGGGACTTGGGTGACTAGGCTGAGTCAGGGTTGTAATGGCCAAATTGTCCCTTTTAAGCTTGCAGGTTCAATCCTGCCCATTTTCCCTCCTCCTCTCTCCAACAGCCCCTCACCTCTATGCTCATCCTAAACCCTAAATCCATGAATGAAACCTCAAAGAAATAATATCTTGGCCTACATCCCTAATTGCTCCAAGCTTTCAAGTTAATGAGTAATTCACACCCCACCCCCACCCCCTCCAACACCTAAATCTAACATGAAAAGTGTTATTTGATAGGTATTCCTTGTTTTCAAGTTTCAACTTCCATTATAGGACATCGATGTGTATGCTATATTTTTCTTTCAATGTGTTGTATTTGGTCAATTGATTTACTCCCTATTTAACTACATGTGGCGGCATAAATAAAGTGAACAAGAAAATACGTATTTACTGTTGACAACCTAAATACCATGTAGAGGGGTCACTCATGACAAATCACCTTTAAAAATTCATCAAAATCCTTTAATATAATTACAAATCCATAAATATTTGATTTTGGAGTAAAAACATAAAAGTTCCATAACAGCTTGATTAGGCCATGGTGTGTAAGGTGAGAAATTTTTTTATGAGTGGTATTCGGTACCATTTCATAATTCCCGTTACACCCTTCATCCTTTACCAAGACCGCGTCCACGATTAAGAACGCTTTCTACGTCAATCTTTTTTTTTTTTAAAAAAAGAGTACACAATTATTTTTTGAGTATTCTGCCATTGGAGATTGGAATAAGATTCTTAAGAGCTGAGTTTTTAGCATCAAATGGACTTCTAGATCCAAAATTTGATGCATTGCTCAATCAAGCTTAATGCCGAAGCTACTCTGATAGTGATGGATAGTATAGACTTCTCGTACTTATAGGCATGTCTTCTAAGGTCTTAGACCATATTATAGACTAATTCAAGTGACACGACATACTATGAAACAAATGTGAGTTTTCAAAACTGATAGATGCAGAGTTATCAGGGATGCTCTTTTGGTTCATAATAAGGTATTACCTTTGGTTCTCCCATTAGGAAGGGTTCAGTGGTATACTGATACGATCTTGATGGATAATAATCAAAATTATATAAAAATAATTGAGTCAATGAGATTTGTTCCTTTTGGTGGGTGATTGTTCAATTAAATTACTTCCCTCCCTTCCATTTTTGAGGTTTCTTTTGATTAGCCTACTACGAAAAGCCACTTTATTCTTCTTTATTAAAATAAAAATAGCGATTATGAAGGTCTGTAATGAAAACTTACTTTCTAAAAAAGGCCATAATCCATAAGAACTCAATAATTATTAAAACTTTTGCGTGGGGTTAGACTTATATTGGATAGAGGAGTCTTATTACTAATACAGTAATGCTGGCAGGAATTTCTCAAAATAATGAGGAAGATAGGGGGTGGGGGGTGGGGAAGGGGTCCTTCCGTTAGTCACTTCGAGTTTGAGCTGATCTGATTCTCAATGTCAGCACTGCATTTGTTTCCCCTTGACATGGGGCTTTTTCTGCTAGAAAATGAAGTTTTTGGAGATTTGTTTTCTTTCTTATAGCTTATGCTTATTTCTTGTCATTGATTGCGATGGCAAGGTGCAGAGACAGTATGATGGTGATAATTAATATTGGCAAGATGGTAGAGGGGATAAAACTGTGGTATATTACAAGAATTCAAGGGTACCTTCTATGTCTTCTCCTCATCTGTCTGGGTTCTGCGGTGGTGTGTAATTTTGCTCAGCCTCCCAAGCCACTCTCCCCAGTTTAGGTTTTGGCTGGCATGCAAAGGTTTCCAATGTCAAATTTGGTTTTCTTGTAGGAGCGCCCTGTCCCAAACTGGATCCTACCTCAAGTGTTACGTCAGCATGTCTTACTTGTTATCAAATTGTGAAGGTTCAAGTCCTCCTTAACACGGGGATCAATCAACTGTTTCTATATATTTATGATCTAGAGCATGATTTTTTTTTTTTTTTTCCCAAACCCAGTGCACGAGACTCCCGCTATTGCGGATTTGGGATGGGTCAGATATACACAGCCTAACCTCCGCATGCGGAGAGGCTGTTTCCGTGTTTCGAACTCGTGACTTCCATGTCACAATGGAGCAACCTTACTGGTGTGCCGAGGCTCACCCTCAATCTTGAGCATGAAATTGATCGGAAATATGTGGTTGGCCAAGCAATACATTCTCAAAGTATGACTTCTATTGTTGCTTAGGCCAAGTAGTTGTACAACGTCTTCTAAATTAAATGGAATAATTGCTGATGCAATAAAATATGCTAGTATGTGTTCACTACCACCTTAGAAATAGCTGAATTGCAAATTATAATTGCTGAAGAAGGAAGTAATGGTGAATTACAGTCATGTAGTTGACCTTAAATGGTTGGGCAAAAGGATCTGTTTAGTTCAGTGTATCCTTTGCAATCAAAAACTAGTTTCTTCCGATCTGCTTTGTCATGTGTTTTTCTAAGGACTTGTTCTAAAGATACTATGTTATGCATGCATGTGTTGAGACTCTAAATCACTAACCTTTTTATTCATTATATATTATGTTAATGGATTAATGTCTATATGTAAATATTGTTCATTTTCCAGGTAGAAGATGCGCGAAACAAAGTTTCTGAAACGTCAACTAAGATGTATAACAGTGTCTTGGATGCCCATGAAAAGTCCAAGGAGTTAGACAAGACATTTAAGGATGTGACAAGAGAAGTTCAAAGTTTAAACAAAGAGAAAGAAGCAATAGAGAAGCGGAAAACAGAAGCTATTAAGAAGCGCACACAACTTGAGCTTGATGACAAAGACCTTCAAGAGAAGATTTCTGGAAATAACAGAGCCAAGGTACTGTTTTAATAAATGCCACTATATTAAACCCTTTCTAAGGAATCCATATGGGTGCTGAAAGGACAGTTCCATGTGTTACTTTCACACTTTCATCCTTTAGGTGGACACAGTGAAGCAGCTTGAGAGCCTACAGAAAGAAATTCAGAACTCCACTGAAGAGCTAAATAAAATTAGACCTTTGTACAACAATCAAGTTAGAGAAGAGGAGGAGATAACAAGAGGGTATGTCTATAAAATTTTGCTAGTGTATGAATCTTTCTCCACATGCACTTGTATAATGTATCACAGGTTGCTTAACGTGCTAGTAGGTCTTCTGTTTTTTTTCTTTCTTTTCCCCCTCCGACTTTGCAGATTGCCTATATAGTACTATCTTCCTTTAGTGTCTTCTAAAATTCTTATGAATTTGGTTCCAAAACTGAAAAAAAGAAATTCAGTGAGCGAATCCCAATGATTTGTAGAATGGTTTCTTGAGCTGATTTGTATCTTAATGTTTCTTTTGAGGGCTTCCCTGGATGCACCTCAGCTCCAGCAGTTAATCTCCTGCCCACTCAAATTTACAAGATGTGTTTGGATAATTTATTCAGTGCATTATAATTTCTACCATCCAAAAGTATACAAAGTCAGTTGTAATGGTAGTAAAAGAATATTCCTGTTTATTTTCTTTCTGTAGTCTATCTCATACTCCTTCTCTCTTCAATAGAATTCTATCACAGTGGTATTCAATTTCTAAAATCTCCCTCCCTCATACAAGCTTCTCCTTGGGTGCTAATAATTTATTTGTTAACATCTGTGTTCTGTGATGCATAGAATAATGGATCGTGAGAAGCAGCTTAGTATTCTTTATCAGAAACAAGGTCGTGCCACTCAGTTTGCTAATAAAGCTGCTCGTGACAAATGGCTAAAAAAGGAAATTGCCGAATATAAAAGAGTTCTAGATTCAAATGAAGAGCAGGTAATGTTTATGTAGATTTCTATTTAGATTCCATAACCTTTTTATTAGATGGATGTATAAAAAAGAAATGAGGCAATTCATGAGTTTTGGGATGCGTCAGTTGTTTTTTGAAGTTTATTTTAGGATTAACTTGCTGCTGCTATAATTTTATTTATGTTTTGTTAGTGTCAAAGAGTTGGGGTCACTTCGCTAATTTTTAGATTTGCTGGAATTTGGTTGTGTTAATAATGGCTCTTGGAAGCTTTCTTTGGATGGAAGAGGCAATATCTCTCAAAAGGGGGGCGTTTTATCTCTTATGAAGAGTACCCTTCGAATCTTCCAACTTATTTTATGTCCCTTTTTCCAATGCCTATGTTAGTTGTCCGGAGGCTAGAGAAGATTCAGAGAAGTTTTTGTGGTGGTATGGGTGGTGAGTTCAACTACTACTTGGTGAATTGAGGGAAACTGTGTATCCCTATTCAAACAAGGGGGTTTGGGATTAAGAGGTAGGATTTGTTCAACCTAGCTTTGTTGGGCAAATGGCTTTGGAGATGTTTTTCTGGGGGGTCGGGGAAGAGGTCTAGATTGTGGTGGAGGGTCATTGTTCGTTGGAGTTGGGAGGGTGGTTGTCTAGGTAGGTGAGTTCTCCCTTGGGCATGCGGGTTTGGAAGCATATCCAGAGTGGTTGGGATGGATGAGTTTTTCAAACGCATTCGTTTCAGGATCAAGAGTGGGAGACATGTCAGATTTTGGGCGGACCTTTGGTGCGAGGACGTTGTTATGGCTTGCAGGTTTCCTTGGCTTTTCAAGATTGCAACGGACAAATATGCGTTGGTTGTTGAGTGTTATCTGCTTGATAATAGGACGATGACTTGAGACATGCGATTTCGGAGAGAGTTCCAGAAGTGGGAGCTTGAGGAGGTAGTAGAGTTGGTGCTGGAGGGGAAGGGGATGGATGATATGGTTTGGATGGGTTCCTCGAGATGGATTTTTGAATTTCGATCTTTCTACTAGAGCCTTTTGGGGATTTCGGGTCCCACCTTTCCTTGGAAAGCCTTCTGGAGATGGAAAGCCCCTCTGAAGGTGGCTTTTTTTGCTTGCTTCGGTGCCCTCGGGAGGATTGCCACCTTCGACAATTTTAGGAGGCGACAAATGGTGGTGAACTGGTGTTGCTTGTGCAAGAAGGCGGAGTAATCGTTGAATCATCTTCTTCTTCATTTCCCAGTGGCAAGGGATGTTTGGTCTGTGTTCTTGGTTGTGCTTGGTATGCGTTGGGTGTCTCCCAAATCCACGGTGGACATGGTCGAGGCTTTGAGAGGGTGTATAGTGAATAGTTGTGCTAGATGCCCTTTTGTTTATGGTGGGGTTTCTGGCATGAGAATAATAGGAGATCCTTTGATGGAGAGGAGACTCTTATTTGATCTCTCAAGTACATCATTTGAGTTCTATATTCTTTTGGGTAAATGGGCGGAATTATAAATCTGCGGGGGACTCTGTGGATTTTCTTGCTTTTGTAATAAGATGCTCACTCGTCTTTTAATATAACCTTACCACATGTCATCTAGACAAACTCGAGAAGCATCCCTTCACGGGAGGCATATCTCATCAGTGTGGTTATTGTGCATTCTACACAAAACAGGCACTTGCCCATTCATTTGGCATCCATCATCATCTGACTTGCACGCATAAACAAATTTTTTAAAAAACCTTTTTTCATATTCATAGCATGTTCCATTTGTTTCTTAAAAGTCTCAATTTCACACTTTTCCATATTTTTAATCTCATATGCATATACCATACTTGATCTGAGTTATTTCTCTCTTTCAAAATCAAGTTTTCCATATGAGATTATAACCTTTGCAAAAATGGTTTCTTTTCATAATGTGTTTCTAGTCAATATAGAATATGTTCTTTTCTCACATTTATGATTCTTTAACCTTGCAAAATTTGTTCTTTTCAGTCTGAGAATCAATCACTTGTAATGATTGTTCCTCTAATGATTTATTCGTTTATGGATTCGAACATGATAAACATGATGATCACACCTTTATCATAAATCAATATATAACGTACAAAAATATTATGCTCTTTAGTGTATTTCTATATGAAATTTAAAAGAATGATGTTTATGATTTTAAACTAACAATAGATCACGTTTTCCATCTTATATCAATATAAAACATACAAATTTTTTTTTTACCAACAGGCCTGTGGTCTAGCGGTACAATGCTCCTAGTTCCCAAAGGGAGGTCAGGGGTTCGAACCTCAGTGGAGGCAGTGTGTGTGAGTCCTAACTAGGAAAAAAAAAAATACAAATTTTTATTTTTGAGAAGTAAAAATATATTAGAAAAACGTTTAAAAGGGGAACGTGTCCCTAATACAAGAAAAAAAAAAGGTCTAAGGATCAATGGAATCCAAGAGATCAAAGAAATCATCAATCGAGGAGCATGCGCTTCCTCTTACATAAGAGAACAGAGAACGAAGAATATGAATTTTTGAAGTAGCTAAAGACGATTCTTTTCCTTCAAAGGATCTGTTATTCCTCTCACGCCACAAGCACCACCACACACAATGTGGAACAATCTTCCAATAATCCTGAGCTTGTTCTTTGACAGGACACCTTTTCCAAGTGTTAATCAATTGAGAGGAGTGCTTAGGCATTACCCAAAAAACGCCAAACATGCTAAAAATAAAACTCCAAACATGCTAAAAATATAAAACATACAAATTTGACAAGCTTTTTAACGAGAATCATACTTTTCATGGACGAATGATATTTATTTGTCATAAACACAATATAAGCATCCTTTATCATTGATAGCTTATGAATAACATGCTTAAGCATATGCACACAGTGGTTAGACCACCTACCTCATATCAAGTTCTAGAACAAAAAGAAAGGAAAACTCCTTTTCTTCTCTTATCTGTGTGTGTGTGCGCGCGCACTCGTGTGGTGGAAAATTGCTCTCAGTTTGTGTATTGTGGCCGGCCACTCCATAATCTTGTCTCATTTGCTTGCTTTATCTTGGACATCTTTCCTACTTCAATTTGTATTCCTTGTTTCTTTATTTAAAACTTCAATCCTAGTTTTTCATAACCAGTTAAGACTCTATTTCCTTTTATCCTATTCAGACAGTTTTCTCTCTCTCTATTATCCAGTTAGAATTGGACTCTCCATGGAAATCTCCTATTTTGTTGAACTTTCTGTCTTTGTTTCCTATATTATCGAAGCTTTATCTAAATCTAAGAGAGAATCTGAAGTCCAAATCTGAAGTCCAGTCCTAAAATCCATGCCCAATCCAAAAATCGTAAAAGTAGCCTACGTTCAAGAGTGGGCTAACCACTCTCTCCCCCATCTTTTCATTGTGTTTTTATCATTTTACCCTTCTTAATTAATAACTCCTCAAATTACTTAATAATTCTCTCCTCATACAATTCATGCTTTTAAAAATTTTCATTTAAGCTTCTAAATGTGCTAATTAGATGGTCCAACCAAGAAAACTTTGGATTAATATATTAGGAAATGAAGATTTCTCCTAGAACTGAGAATCTTATTTATTTCCCTAGTTTGAGAATAACAACAACAACAACAACATGCCTTATTCCCAAGTACTTGGTGTGGGCTACATAAATCCTATGTTTCCGTTCCACTCTGTCTATTGTCATAGCTTCAGTCAAACCATATGCTATCATATCCTTCTGTACTAGCTCTATCCATGTTAACTTTTGTGTTCCTTTTCCCCTAGTACCCCCTTCGTCCCATATTAGTTGTCCCTTTTGGGGAGTAGAACTTTGTAAGGGGACATGCAATTAATGCCTTGTCACCTTTTTAAATTACCAAGTTATCCTTTCAAGTTTGAATATGTATAATCAAGTTGGAAAATTTTAAAACTTCAAGGGTATTTATGAAAAGATGCATTTATCTTACTTGGACTTTTTAACTAGGGCAAGTATTTTGGGACAACCCAAAAAGGAAAGATGGTTAATTAAATTGGGACTGAGGGAGTATTACTCTCAATGTGGAATATGTCAGTCTTCCTAACTGTGCATTTAAAGGTCTTCTTTGCACATGTCCCAAATGTGGTCGTCTCTAATTCTATCATTTCTAGTCTTACTGCAAATATATCTCAACATTCGCATTTCCGCTGCACTCACTTTATGCATATGTTGTTTTCTAGTTTGAGAATCTAATGCAAAATTTCACACCGACCAAATTTATGCCAATCCTTGACCTTATTAAATTATCAAAGAACTTGTACTGTTATAATCCTTACTGTTATTATTTTATGAAAGGAGAGGTCATGAAAATAGTCTATTGTTTATGCACGTAACTCCTACATAATAGTTGTTTCTTTATGTTTATTTGTTTCAGGAGGGAAAACTGAAGAATGAAATCCATCAGCTTAACAATGAGCTGAAAGATAAGGATGCCCACATTGAGCATCGCAAGGCTGAAATAGCTGCATTGGAATCCCTTATGCCACGGTATCGTGAAGGGTTCAATCAGTACAAGTCACAGAGAGACGAGTTGCAGAATGAGAGGAAGTATGATTTTTGTTTCAAATTTTATTAAACTTAAATAAGAGTATGTATTTGTTTAATATAGTTGCACATGTTTATGTTCTTAGGTCCTTGTGGGGGAAAGAAAGTGAGCTTTCTGGTGAAATCGATCGGCTAAAAGCAGAAGTTGTGAAGGCAGAGAAGAGCCTAGATCATGCAACTCCTGGTGTAAGTATTTAATTTCTTGTTGAATCTTCTAAATGCAATACATCATTTTCGAGGTGTAGGGGAACCTCATAGATTGCGTTGCTGATTGACATGTCATCAGTAGGTGAACTGCACTGATGCCTTGCTGAGCTAGGGATTCTTCCAATATACGTAATGTAACATCAATGATAGGTGCTTCATGATACTAAAAATTATTTTTGTGCAACATGAGGAAAAAAAAAAATGGTCCACCACTCTAAGGAAGTAGCCAAGGGAAAATTGAAGTTGTTTGTAAGCATAAAGTTTACAACTAGAAAGTATCTTTAGAGAAAATCATATTTTTTACTGTCCTAACAAAAAGGGGAGGACTTGCCATTATTGGCAAGAGAGGATGTGCAGTTTTTTGATAAGTAAGATTGCATTAAAGGTGCTCAAGAGGGGAGCACTCCCAAGAAAAAACATAAAAAGCGAGCAACGGTCAACTATAACATCACACTATCCACGAAATTTACAAAATTCTCCACATATACAATTTTGCCATTTACCTAAAAGAATAAAGAACTTAGAATGACCTATATGAGAGACCAAATAGGAGTCTCCTCTCCTTTGAAGGGTCTTCTATTTCTCTCGCGCCACAAGCCTCACCATAATCAAAGGGGAGTGGCCCTCCAAGTGTCTCGGGCTCGACTATCCAGTGTACACCCTTTGTAAGAGTTGATCATGTCTACTGTAGATTCAGGAGACATCCAATGCATAATCAATATAGTTTGAGTTTATATCAGATTTTAAACAGTTCTTCAGGCTTTTCCCAGATTTCCCTTTAGAAATCTAGGCTCCAATGGCGATTGGAGTATTTCCTAGTCTTCCTTACTGTAGTAAGAAGACTTGTGTTTATTTATGTTTGCTTCACTAATGCTGTGATCGGTAGGAAGGAAAGAAGAGGGGTGGAAGGAAAATAGGAAGGAAGGAACAAATTTCCTTCATTCGGTAGAGATGATACAAGGAAAGAAAGGATAATAGGAAGGATGAGTCATCCTTCCTCCTTCACAAATTTTCATCTGCCCAAATATGGGCGGAAGAGAGGAGAGAAGACAAGTGAGCCTATTATAGAAGTTTTAAATTACTACATCACGCTTCATAAATATTTAATAAATCCCATAAATAAAGTAAGGGCTGGGTTTAATGATAACAACTTAAAAATTTATCTTTCCTTTGATCCTATAGATCAAATTAAATTGTCAGTTTTTTCCATTCTTTTCCATCCAACCGAACACATAGAGGGAAACACTAAATCTCTTTCCTAGGGATGTCTCAGTCATCCTTTCTTCTCTCCCATCCATTCAATTTTTTTTCCTTCCTACCGAACGGAGCATAACCCTCAGAATTCGTTTGGAAAACTCATCACTACCCTTCCGGATAGGCTTCCAAACCCCAGTAGGAGACTTCACCTCCCTAGAAATCCACCCACCAACTCCTTCCCCAGGCTGCATAATATAACTCTCCTCCACAATCCAGATCTCTCTCTCCCAAATCTCCATAGCCATTTGCCCAACAAACCTTCTTGAACAAATCCAACATCCTAATACCCAACCCCCCATTTGTATGGAAGCACACTCCTCCCCACAATTCACCATCTGGTATTTGAACTCATCCCCCATACCACCCCACAAGAAGTTCCTCTGCAGCTTCAGCCTCCTGCCAACAACCATATACATCTGAAAAAGGGACATAAAGTTAGTCAGAAAAATTGGAAGGTTACTCTTGGTGAGAGTTATAGGCCCCTCTTTCGATAGCTATTTTTTCTTCAAGCCAACAAGCTTTCTCTCAAAGCACTCAACAACTAGTACCAAATGAACATTTCCAAGTTCTCCATTGCCAATGCTTTTTGGCAAGTTCATTTCAAAATTAACCTCCTAGTGATTGGCCACAAAAGAGGTAAATAATCACGTTAACATGGCAAAACATGCCGAGGAAGAGCAAAAATGACGAAACACACACCAAGTAAATGTGATGTTTCCATTGAAAGAAATAGAGAATGAGAGTGGGTCTGATAATAACGATGAGAAGCCCAGGAAGGACACTTTTGCCAATTACAGTGATTTATTCCTAGTTATGGTGTTGAATTCTTTTTTGAGAAGTAATAATTCATAAAAGGCGCTCAAAAGGGAAGCGCCTAGTTATGGTGTTGACTTAATGATTCCTTACTAGATTTCTCTGGACTATTCTTGAATTTTGGATTGTATTAAAATTTTAATATTTGAAATCCTACATGCTGCTATGTAGAAACGTTTTGCACCTCGTTATATTTGTCTGATGGTTGTTTTCCTCACTTTTTTTTTTTTTTTTTTGATAAGTAAGATTGTATATAAAGAAGCGTTCAAAAGGGAAATGCATCCCTCAAAAGCTACACAAGACCAAATAGGGCTTCTAATCTCTCAAAGAGTCAATAAAGTCCACTATCTCATCAAAGGATTTACAATATCTCCCAAGAACCCAACAAAAAATGGAGCTAATAATGGAGAATTTCAGCACATCACCAATAGAAGTCTCCTTCCCTTCAAAGTATCTCCTATTTCGTTCAAGCCATAAACACCACCAGATGCAGAAAGGCGTGATCCTCCAGAAATCACGAACATGAGCCCCCACTAAATAGCCTCTCCAGGCCTCAATGAAGCATTGAAGCCTCTAGCAGATCTTGGCATAACCCACTGAACTCTAAACAAACCAAACATCAAAGCCCAACAATCCCGAGCCACTGGGCAATTCTTGCACATACAACAACAGTTGACCACAACTTTTCTCCTCCTCTTAAGGTTATCCTGGGCCAAAATCTTTCCCAACACAGATGTCCAAACAAAGAAAGCCACCTTGTGGGGGGCCTTAGAATGCCAAATAGTCTTCCACAGGAATGCATCTCCTCGAGAAATCGTAAGACATTTAAAGAATGAGCGAACCTCAAAATGATCCCTAGAAGAGGGGACCCATACCATATAATTAGGGACTCCACTAACAATCTCTTGATGATGCAGCAGCTCCAGAAAACCAACTACTTCCTCAATTTCCCAATCTTGAAAATGCCTCAAAAGACGAACATCCCAGGATCCCTTAGTTGTTAAAGGCTCAAGGCGCACCAAAGCGCCAAGGTCCCCTGGAGCCTGAGGCGCAAGGCGAGGCGCGTGCCCGAGTGAAGTGAGACGCAAGTTGAGAAAAAATTAAAAGTGACATCTAATAAAGAGGCAATAGTAAACATAAAGATGCAAAATCATGTAAACCAAAAACTTGAGTTTAATTATCAACATACTAACATAAAAATGCAAAAGGGAACTACGTTAAATAGTAACAAACATACTAATATAAAAATGCAAAAGTCAACTAATTAAATAAAACCAAAACAAACATAGAAATGTTCACTACTTCCTAAACTCCTAAGAAGACAACGCCAAAGGATCTAAACATCATCATCATCATCAATAAACATATCACAATCTTGATCATCACTTAAAATGTGTGTGTGGGTTTATGTTTTTTGCAATTGGTCATGCACAGAAGGCCTAACCTTCAACTACAGCCTACAGGGAAAAAGGCAAGTACAGAGATTTCAGAAGAAAAAAAAAACATGCTAATAGTGCTGTGATTTCGGAAAAACAAAATAATCAGAACAGAGATTTCTTCTTCTCTCTTCTGGACTCGACTGTGAAAACTGAGAAGGAGAAGAGTAGGAGCCAAAAAAAAAAAAAAAAAGACACAGATTTCAGAAAAGGAAGGAGTAGAAACAGATTTTTGGAAAAAAAAGAAGTTCAGACTTCAGAGAAACAGATTTGTTAAAAAAGAAAAACAGAGCTTCCAATTCCAGACTTCCAGCTGAAGAAGAAGAAGAGTAACACCAACGGATTTCAGAAAAATAAGAGGTGCAGAGAAACAGATTTAAAAAAAAAAAAAGGGAGTTCAGTCGAAGACTGAGAGCAGCCAGAAAGAACCGCAACCAAAAAAAAAAAAAAAAAAGATTTTCCAAAAAAGAAAAAGAATAGTAATAAGAAAAAAAAACAAAATAACCATAGATTTCAGAAAAAAGGAGAAGAAGATAAGAGAAACAAACCAAAAAAATGAAGCGCAACTGCGCAACTTAAGAAAAAAAGATTTCAGCAATTCAGTCGATGAAGAAGAAGAAGATAGAGAAAAGAAGAGAGAAGAAAAGAAGAGAGAAGATGAAGAGAGCTTACCCGATACCTTCAATTCGAGCAGATGAGATTATGAGAGCGAGCCCTAGTCTTCTTTCTCTTTTCATTCACTCTCTTTCTCTTTCTAATTCACTTTCCTTTTTGTTTTTATTTATTTTCCTTTTTGTTTTGGGTCAAGTTGGTCAAAAGTTGACTTCTACAGCCTGTATTAACTCTTATAAGGTATATAAACCTTTTTCCTTTTATAACCTGCAAGTTAAAAGACATTTAAAAAGAAACTTTAATCAGGCGCGCCTGCCTTGCGCCTCGAGATCCTCGCCTGTACATTAAAGGTGCACGCCTCATCAAAGGGCTTCTCCTGGCTTTACTACAGGCGCAATTACCACGCTTGTATGCGCCTTGCGCCTCGGGGGCGCCTTTGACAACTATGGATCTACCACTATCAAGACGATAGCAGTCACTCACCAAGGCATGTCTGTCCGTGGCAATCCTAAAGAATCTGGGATAGGAGAGAGCAAGAATCGTTCCCCACACCAAACATCCTCCCAAAAACGAATTCTACTACCATTTTTGACTTGGAACCTGATATGATTAGAAAATTCATCCAATCCCATTCTGATAAATTTCCACACCCCAACTCCACCAGGACATCTCACCTCCAGCGAACACCAGCCACCTCTGTCCTCCCCGAATCTACTCACAATCACCCTACTCCACAGTCTATGCCTCTCTCTACCAAACCTCCATAACCACTTTTCCCCAGAAGGGCCTTATTAAAGGGCATCAGTTTTCTGATACCCAACCCACCATTCCTAAATGGACGACACACTTGCTCCCAATTCC